TGACAGCATTTTTTCTCAGGAGTCTGAGCATTAGTCAGTTTGAGACAAATATTAAAGGTGTCAAAGCACAAAAAAAAAATAGTATGAGCTGGGATGTAATATTTCTTATTGGCCCATTCACACATTGCTAGTATCCTTGCAAGGGTCTGTCAGATGGATTTGGCAGGATCCAACACGACCATATTAACAAGCAAGGCAACTAAGGTAGACGAAGACCACTGAAGGATATCCAGGAGCTTTTGTTGTGACTTGACCTCTTCCCTGGGGATCTGCAAGGAACCTGTGATGTGCTTTATTAACTCTTGGAAGTGGTCTGGAGTTATCAGCCATAGTCAGCAGAGAAGACATCTTTCTCAAATTAGGCAATTATGAAGAAATATTTGTTTGAGGAATAGTCTCTTTCTCTTCAATGGATTCTTGTGCCTGAGGCAATAGCAGAGGGGTATCTGAAGTAAGGGAGGAACATCTCTCCCTGTAGTCCTACATTAAAGACTAAGGGCCCATTGGGAATATTGCTGTTGATATGCAGTTCATTGGGGGTGTATTGCCATTGGAGTACAAAATATATCAGGGATGGCATACTCTGGTGCTTGTATTGGGCTTGTGTTTCCCTGACCTATTTTTGGTACAACTCCCCCCTCTTTTGAAAAGCATGAGGAGAATAACTTGTTTTAAGAGTAAGGGAACCTTGGATTGAGACATTCAAATTGGAGAATTCCTCTTCATCAAAAGGGGAAGCCGCAGCACTCTCTGAAGGTCTTGGAGATTCAAGAAAGGTCTCACCTCAGAGACAGTGTCTGTCTGTATACCAATAACTTTTTAGTACCCACCAACAAGGAAGACTCCAGTTCCTCCAAAACAAGTAAGCCCTCAGAGAATCTGAACTCTTGCAATACTTGGATGGTGGCTCATAGCCATCCTGTGATCAACCAGGACTCCGGGGTCCTTCTCCTCTTCCGTTACTTCCAACTGATGTGTCCCCAGCTTATAACTAAAATTCTTATTATAAATCCCTAAATGCATAACCTTACACTTCTCACTATTAAATTTCATCCTATTGCTATCACTCCAAGGGTATGTCTACACTACCCTCCTAGTTCGAACTAGGAGGGTAGTGTAGACATACCCTAAGAGTGTATGTTGTCCTGAGAAGTTCCTTTTGTTCAAAGTAGTTGATACCAGTGAGAGAGCCTCAGGAGACACCAAGACCATATGTGAAGCATAGTATCTTCACAGTACTGAGGCCATCTTAGTGGCCAACTTTGATGCAGACAGTACTGAAGGAACTGTGGGTACTATTCTCTTAGAAGTTGAATACTTTGTTAAGACAGTATCATTTCTGTTGTAACAAAGGTCTCTGTTCCAAAGCATGCTTGTTGTGCCCCTTTTTTTCATATGATACCAGAGCTCCAGGCCCAGGATCAATACTGACAGTGCGTGCAGTCTCAGCCATACTCAGAGTGGGACAACAGATCTCTGCAATGGCCTTGCTTCATGATAAATGAAGGTTTTTTTGAGGTAGACTCCTTCTGTGGAGAATGGCTCCTCTTTTTGTGGATCTTCTCCTAGGATTTACATAAAGTAGACACAGCTGAAAGTGCCATGCCTAACCTTTAAAAGCAGAGCAAATGGAGCACTTTTGGAGGCTATGAGAAATCTCTCCCAAGCAGTAGATATCATAGGGAAATTCATCACTTGCTAGATGGCTTACCAGCAAGAGGCACATTACTTGAAGCCCAGAGAGCCTGGAGTACTATGCAGCAACAGAATTTAGAAGGGGAAAAGTCCCTCTTTATAGTTGAAAGGGATTGAGAAAGATGATTTTCCTAAACAGCTAAATAAAACATAGTAAATAAAATAAATAAATAATAGAATAAAGGTATCTAGCAGTCTTTCCTCTAAGATGTGGGGCACCACAGCTTCACAGGTGACTAATCAGCCCTGCCCAGTCAGACACTCAGGGCTCCCTGCATGGAGCTGATTGACTGGGCAGGACTGATTAATCAGCTGTGAAGCTGTGCAGCTTAGAGAGAACACTGGTGTCTAAGCTAAGTTGCTCACTTCCAATAGTAAGGGTACGTCTAGACTACATGCCTCTGTCGCCAGAGGCATGTATGTAGATTAGGCTACCAGGCATAGGAAAATGAAGCGGTGATTTAAATAATCGCCGCTTCATTTAAATTTACATGGCTGCTGAGCTGAGCCGACAAACAGCTGATCAGCTGTTTGTCGGCTCAGCTCAGCAGCCATGTAAATTTAAATGAAGCGGCGATTATTTAAATCACCGCTTCATTTTCCTATGCCTGGTAGCCCCCAGGTAAACCTCATCCCAGGAGGCATACCTGGGTGGTCGACAAATGCCTTTGATGTCGACACCCGCGCGTCCAGACTACAGTGCTGAGCCAACAAACAGCTGATCAGCTGTTTGTCGGCTCAGCGCGGCAGCCATGTAAATTTAAATGAAGCGGCGATTATTTAAATCGCCGCTTCATTTTCCTATGCCTGGTAGCCTAATCTACATGCCTCTGGCGACAGAGGCATGTAGTCTAGACGTATAAGACACACTAACATTCCATGTCAGAATGAGATGGTTGAGAAGGAATTAATGGTTGTTCACCTATGCAGCTTTTATATAGTTCCAGAATGGGGTATGAGGAAGTGTAGCGCTCATGCACCAGCCCAACAAGAACTAACAAAAATCTCTGATTAAAGGCACAAGAGGTGTGAGTACCCATAAGCAGGGCTTGACAAATGGCGGCGAAATCTACTCACCAGCCCCACACTGCGCATATCCAAGACCGCATTACGCATGCGCGTGCCGCCGATGAATGGGGCAACCGGCTGAAATCTACTCGCCACAAGCGAGTAGAAACAGCAATTTGTCGAGCCCTGCCCATAAGGACACTATTTGCAGAAGTAACGCTTTACTTTTTCACGAATGCCACAAAGGGCACTTAATTGCATAAAAGTAGGAATGGCTGGCCATTTATATGTTTGACAATATTATTATTATTAAATAATATTAGTTCCATGTTCAGATATCCAAATTAGAATCAGGATCCTGGTGAGCTAGGCAACAAGCAAACACATATAAAGCCAGTTCTTTGACCAATTAAGTTCAGAATATTACAACAGAACTGGCACATGACATAAAAAGTCCAATAGCAACACTTTTTAATTAAACAGTAAACTCAGAGGTCATACCTTATAGTTAGAGAATTGCTAATAAAATACCTATTTTAAAAAATCGGGAGAGAGGGGAGGGATCAGGAAAACTGCAGGCTTGTTACTTTTACCTCAATAGTATACATAGTCCTTGAATAAATTTCAAAAGGGAAATCAGTTAAGAACATAGAGTTAAATGGTAACTGGGATAAAGTATAATACAGTTTTACAAAAAGTAAACCATGCCAGATGGACCTGATCTCTTTCATAAGGACAACTGATAATTTAGACAAAGAAAATGCAGTCAATCTAAGCAAACTAGATTTTAGTTTGATACAGTCATGAAAAATAATTAGTTAAACTGGAGAAAATCTGAATTAATATGAAAATTGAAAGACAAATAAGGAACTGGTTAAAGGGGAGACTGCAATGGCCCATGCTAAAAGGAGGGAGGTTAATAGTGGAGTTCCTCACAGATTAGTCATCAGCTCAATCTTATTTAACATTTCCATTAAGAGCTTGGAACAAAAATCAGAAGTGTGGTAATAAAATCTGAGAATGACTCAATGTTGAGAGGTATTGCCAATATAGAGGAAGATCAGAACATCATACAAGCAATTAAATAGGTGGAGGAATTGGAATTCATGCAGACACTGACAGTAGTACATCTTGACCAATATGGCATCATTTCAAGAGTACTGGCTGATGGACTGGGTGAGAGAAAGTGGGTTGCTACTTTACCAAAGTGGAGAATAGGGATCTGCAATAGAACTACTGATGAGGATGCTTGAAATAAGAACATAAAAACGGCCACACTGGGTCAGACCAAAGGTCCATCTAGCCCAGTATCCTGTCTGCCGACAATGGCCAATATCAGATACCCACAGAGGGAAGGATCACAGCAGGTAATCCTCATGTGATCCCTCCCCTGTCACCCACCTCCAGAGAAACAGAGGCTAGGGATACCAATCCCTACCAATCCTGGCTAATAGCCATTGATGGACCTAATCTCCATGACTATATCTAGCTCTTTTTTGAACCCTGTTTAAGTTCTAGTCTTCACCACATCCTCTGGCAAGGAGTTCCACAGGTTGACTGTGTGCTAACTGAAGAAAAACTTCCTTTTGTTTATTTTAAACCTGCTGCCTATTAATTTCATTTGGTGTTTCAATCGTGCTGAGTGAACAGACATTCTGCTCTGATGATGAAATGCTTGCCAAATCACAACAAGCACAGATTCAAGAAGTTAGCAAGATGAAATAATCAGAGGAGATTGGAAGGATTCAGTATTCTGTCCACGATACTCATAAACAGTTGGATGGACTGCCAAAATGGTATTGGCATCTCTATGTAGTACTCTACGGTTTATCTAATGTCCAATGTGGATAGCCATTGCTCATTCCTGTTTGCTTGTCAGATTGTGTAAAGTACGGGTAAGTAAATTATTTGATTTATATGAAAATGTGAAACTACCTCAAAGAGAAAACCACCATCCAAAGATATTTCAGCACTTCTAATTTTGGATTCCCAACTTGAGAAAGGCTAACAGCTTGGTTTTCAGGAAGTTGTGAGGAACCAACCTCTGTAAATCCAGCTTCTTTAAGGCATCACATGTGAAATAACCAAAATGATTATCTTCTGAAATTTCAGATCATTACTTTTATTGAGAAGCTTGCCTTTAGGTACCCAGATTAAAACATCTGGGCATTACTACTAACTCAAATCTCTAGTTATAAAACTAGCCATATGCAGACAACCAGATATTATTTTCTATAAAAATCAAAATCCATAATAACTATTGATGAGGAAGATTCCAAACACTGAATCTAGTTTACCTGCCATCTCTTTCGGCTGCTCCACCTTCTGTTACTGTTTTGACAAATATTCCCAGTTTTTCAAGACCTGCATCTGCTCCAACTCCCATTCCAATAATACTGATGCCAAGTCCATCTTCATCTGTGGAGAAGACAAGTAAAAGCAGCACTATGTATTTAATTTTAAAGTAATCTGGCATTTTAAAAAGTACATTTGTGCTCTGGCTTTTGTTTTCTTCTGATTTTTTTCATACGATCAACCCCCTTTTTATTATTTCTTTGGTGAGACACTTAATTTTCTGCAGTTTTAATAATACACCAAAGATGGATGGCATTTGCCATCTGGAAAAGGTTACCACAGTTATACAAAATGGCTATTGTTCCAGAGGAGAATAAAAAGTTAATATGAAAGTTCACGCCAATTAACGTGCAAGCTGAACTACAGGAAACAATACTCTTACACAAATAAAAATCTGTGTGTCTTTGAACTAGTTCCTTATATAACATTATTGAATATTTTTCAGTCCGAAGGTTGAAGAGATTTGCAATGGTTTCTTGGGAATTACAGTTTTGCCCTCCAGGCAAGTGCAGCAATCCCTTTACAGATTTGTACATCAATTTAGAAAAATTGCAAATAGTACACAGAATGCATACCTTTTTCTAGTTCCACTGGAAAAAGCTCCAGTTTTTCCACACGCTTTTCAAGTTCATATTCAGCTGATGCAGCCACTGGGTCAACTTCATCATTTCTCCGGTCATAATCTTCATTGGAGTATGTGTTGAAAACCTTTGAAAATATGCCAATATTGATCAACTATCCATTCCAGAAAATACTATAAATTTAAGAAAAGAGCTACTATATATATCCATTTTATGGCTTTTTCTATTAGTGTTAGAAATGGGTTTTTAAATCAATGTCCCCCATTTCCCCTCAAAGTTCAGGTTTTTTAATGAGTGCTTTTATCCAAAACAGTCTGCTAAGGACTGAAAACTATTCTGAATATAACTAATTCACTTTTATCATATGTGCTTATAAATGCAGTACATGTTTTAGAATGACTGAATCATTCTACTTCTTTAATAATTAAACAAACAAGCATATGGTTGCAATCAAACATTGCTCCAACACTAAAGCAGAATACATAGGAACTACTGTGGTTAAATGTCCCTTGTATTTAACCTCAACTGTTAACGTTTTTCTGAGCATCCAATTTGCACACACACAATACCAAAATTCAAACCAACTTCTGCTAAATAAGAAAATTAAAATCTACCCATAAAATTAAAGATTATGCTGCAGCTTTAAATTGAAAGATTACAGTATGGCATTATTACTGTACAATTAAAATAAACAGATTTAACATTTCAACTTTATTAAATGAGATGTTTAATATGTATGGTATACACACACAAACTTTTCAAATGCTACTGTAACTGCAGTAAGTTTGTTGTCTTTGTTTATTAGGGATTATTAAGGCCTTCTGTAATCGAGGCCTCAAAAAGTTATAGCGTTAGAAAGATGGAGAGAGTTGTTCAGATTTTTGATACTCCGCTTTATTTGGATAATCTTTTTATTTACTTAGTTGCCCCAATGTGGCAGTAGTGAAGGAATATACAATGCCATGTCTGGAGCTAAATATTCTAAATTCTTCTGTCCTACATTTATTGTTGCATTAGTTACTTTAAACAAAGGACACATCATACCATACCCATGCCTCCACACTGTCCACAAAATTTCACTCTCTCTACCCTTTTCTGTCTTTACAAGTGCTCCACCCAAAGGCAGAATTAGGTAGCAAAAAAATAATTATGAGCAATACCAAGTGCACGTACCGGAAAAATACCAAAACGGAAAGGCCAAAAGAAGTCTTCCTTGACTACAACTCTGTTCAGATGCTAGTCAACCACTGACTCCATGCGAGAATTGCTCAAGGCTATCACACCACAAGAGGCAGGGAAAGCCAAAGGCAGAGCCACAGCTAAGCTCAGCACGGTCAGACCCTGATGTTCAGCTGTCCATTTAATATCTAAAAATTCACATTCAACTTTTACATTTGAATTCTTAATAAAAGTGAGAGAGATCAAATGTAAGAAAAAAGGATGCTTCGCATCAGATTTGGTGGTAGAGAGATCTTTTACGCATTACAAAAATGTTTGTGCCGCAAATATTAAATACTGTATGCCCTAAATAAAAATGGCAGCAACTGCTTTGAAAATGTTACTGTGTGATACAAGTTTTAAAGTTTAGCTCCTAAAGAGCACAAAAAAGAAAATGATTATAGCTTAAATGGTACTGTTAGTAGAATCTGAGTTGTTCCTACCTAGCAATCTCACAGCTGAGGGAGCAACCTCATTGACTCCCCTTTTGTTTAAAATTAGTTTCACTCCACGTTTATTTTTTCAATTACACAAATTGGAAAAAATCTACCCATCACCTATCTTTTTTTATTTCTTTGGCATTCATTCCTCAATTCGACTTTATAACATTTTTTGAATCTTTGGAAATACTGACTGAAACAAAGTAAAAATAATGATACTGCAAAACGAAACCCCCTGTGCAGTCTAGAATGCCTTCTTTGAGTTACAAATCTCCTCATCACATAAGAGATTACTTTCCAGCTTGTAGGCATACTGAGTTTTTGATGGTGTCTTGGCACATTTTTGCTTTGGATTTAAGCTTAGAGTTTGCATGCTTCCTCAAAGAAGCTAAACTTATCACAAGTTTTCTTGGCAGAACTCTTTATATTAGTAGAACTGTCAAGGAAACCTTACAATACTACTGGGAACACGAAGAAAGCAGTCATCACTCAAAGTACTGATGCTTTTGTCCAAGGTAATAAAATCTTCTCTGCAATGCTATGGAAGCAACTTAGTCCGCAACACATTATTTCTCTTAAAATAGTCGCTATATTAAGATTATTGTAAAGAATCCGGTTGCATAATACCACGTTGCTAGTAACACAGAAATGGTGATAAAGTTGTCATGCTCTTTGAAGCAGCCCACAACTGTGAGTGCCTACTTCAGGATAGACTGTGCGAAAACAGGGCAGACACCCTGATGATGTGTTCTATAATTAGATTTCACCAATACAGTAACAAATGTAAAATCCTGTATAATTATATCAGTTTTATCAAGGAGTTCCAGACAGTCACCTCAGTTTCTCCTGTCCATCTTGCCATCCAAACTAGTGATGTAAAACTGTGGTTACCTGACTAATTGTATAGTCGATACAATTTGTATTGACTACACGATTAGTTTATACAGACCGCTTTGCAGAGTCATAGTGGGGGTAGTTCCAGGAGGCGGCTCAAGCCAGGACTGAGCAATTTTTAACAAAGAGAGTAACTTTAACAGAGAAGAACTTACCAAGTATTATAGTGGATTATCTATTATTGACCATTTTTAAATCAAAACTGGAAATGTCTCTAAAAAATATCTGACAGCCTTCCCCCTTTGCAATCTGGTCCCATTGCTGGGACCCTGTTGCCCTCCTGTCATATGAGAGTTAAGGGGGCTCAAAAAGGAGGTTGGCTTCCCATAGTACCAGACATGTGGAACTTTTCCCCTCCCATTCCCCTTTTTTGTTAAGGGATGCTTTCCCCTAATTCCCCTTCCAATCCTTTTTGTCTCAAAACGATACCCTTTGTGTAATGAGTCCCTGCAATGGACATCTGTCAAAATGGGGCATCCTCAATTACTTTGGCTGAGACAGAGATTATGAAACTGGAATATAAACACTCCCTCCCCCCAGTTACCTGGAAGGGTAATACCTCCCCCACTCCCTGCCCCCGTCTGGTCCATCCATTCCTTGTTCTTCCTTACTCCATACAGGTAAACTTCCCATTTCTTTCTTATCTGCTGCCAAATGCAGAAACAGCCTCCTATAGAAGCAAACCCCCCTTTTTCTCCTGGCAGGCAAGATAAGAACCCACCATATATAGTTTTCTTTTAAGAGATCCTAGTCTATTAATTTCTTCTACTGAAACTACAATAGGTCCAAAGGATGACATTTCCAGATACAACAGAAAGTAAACAATAGGTTTCTCTTTATACCATTTCAGGCTATAAAAATTTGGCTTACGAGTTCTAAAAAGATTAATTTTCTTGGGAAGAAATATTTTACATAGAGTATTTTTAGCAACTGGTAGATTTGCAAAGGGTTTTTAAACATGAAAATGCCTCTTTGAGCTGGTCAGGTGTTTAAAAAGGAGTTTCCTAACTGAAGTACAAATCTTTCTGATTACCTTTTTTAGTGGTCTACTTTAAGGCCTAATTAATGAAAGTTAATAGTATCTTTACCATCAAGTGAATAAATATCTTTTGACTGTTTTATCTTATAAGCTCCTTTTGATAAACATATCATTTTGTATATTTTAACTTGTATTTTAAGTTTATTACATAAATATATTATTTTCATTATTACATAACAACAACATTAGTAGTACAGCATGTTCAATGGCATTTCAAAGTTCATGTCTTCCCAGATGTGCATCCCAATGGCTGTTAAATTAAGAAAGTGTAGGAAGTCACCTTAAAATAAACTTTTCAACTTCTGTTACAGAAAATTATTTTGTGTTTTCCTGAATGATTCTCACAATGGGCTTGAACAGATAGAGAGGAAAACCACATAGGCTCTTTTCTCTATGGTCAGCATTCAGGCAGAGGACTGCCTATAGAGCAGTGAAAGGAAAGTAGATAGGAGTCAAAAGCCTCCTGAATCAGCCCCATTTGTCTTTGTGTTCTGAGATGTAAGACTCACACACAGGATCTTGACTGTATCTCTGACACTAAGGAGAGCCATGTGTCTTGGAACACTCCATCACACAATAGGCAGAGAGATCCTGCCATGGCAGACTGTGTGAGGATTTCACTGATACAAAGTCCCCTATTATTAAATGAATGTGTTTGTTGCACTTTCTGAAAGACTCTGTGGATTCTTTGCTGCTCCTAGAAATAAAAGGCCTAATTCTGATCTCAGTTCATATATTCTACGATAAGAAGGGACCACTAGAATCATCTACTTTGATTTCCTACATACACAGACTGGAGAATTTTCCAGACACCGAAATAATGATTTCTGAAAGAGATCTAATCTCATTTTAAAGACTCCAACTGATAAGTCTTCCACTTCCCCAGTAAGGTATTCCATGTTTAGTTACCCTTATATACTGCATCTTATTAAAAGATTGAATTTGTCTTCAGCTTCCAGACACTGGATTTTCATATGCTTTCATCTGCAAAACTAAAAAGTCATCACTATCAGTTATCTTTTCCATGTGTAAGTACCCATAGAAAACAATCAAGTCACTTTTCAATCATCTCTTTAATCATTTGAACAGATTGAGCTCTTTAAGATTCACACTGCAAAATATTTTTTCCAGCTCCTGAATCATTTCTGTGGCTGTCCTTTCAACGATCTCCAGTATTTCCATGTCTTTCAAGTATGAACAGCAGAATTAGACAAAGTATCCTAGTAGAGGTTTTCACCAATGCTGTCATGGAGGCCAAATCACTTCACTACTGCTATTTCAGATTCCTTTTTTATACATCCAAGATTATACCAGTGATTTGTTAGCATAAACAGTTAACTGATGAATCTGGGCTCATCGGTTAAACTTCATGATTATACACAGGTCCCCTCCCCCTGCACTGCTGCCTCCATATCAGAGGCAGTAGCACTTGGTGCGGGGCAGGTGGGAGCCAGTGCAGAAATGGCTTTTAAGCAGACTCCCTTTGAGCACCAACTCCCAGGGAGCTGCTCCCCCCGCCCCATACTGCTGCCTGCT